CTCTGACTACTCCTGCTCTCTTGTTCTTGTTATACTGTGATAAGACATCTCTCAACTGTCTGAGCTCCATCTTCAGCGTGAGCCTAGTCATGTACCCCTGAAATTTTTGCACCTTCATAGATCACCCAGTGTTGTGAAGGCTGTTTTGTTTTGTTTGTTTTTTTAAATCCAGATCCTGCGATTTGGTTCCCTCTGGGGCAATGATAATGGTAAATCAGTGAACAAATAACCTCCTTAAAACAAGCATTTCAGGAAAAAAAGCCTTAAAAATAAACAGATTGTACATATTTAACTTAGGAGGTTTTTAAGAGATAGAGATCCTGGTACATCTGTGATTTCCTATAGGCTCTTGCACCAAGATTCTGTCTCAGTTTTTCTTCCTCGCTGAGCTTACTGATGGCTCCATAAGCAGTCTGGCAACTCCACCCTCCTTTGTCAGTTTTTAGCTGTTGGGGTTCTTTGATCTGGTAATCCCTAGCTTTGACAAAACAATCTTTGCAATTTGTTGAAGAGTGGGTCCTTGCAGCTAACACTGTCCCATTGTTTTTCAGTGCCCTTGTGTGTTCTTATCAGAGTCAACACCTGTATTCCCTTTACATACAAATATAGAACCTGGTGTGGACAAACTGATCTGTAACATGTGGTGCAGGACTTCCTATATCTGGTCACGTGTCCAGCCTCCTTTGAGGGCTAATATCATTTTTTTTCAGAGAAGAGTCGCAACAATCCATAAGCATCTATTTATACATGCTTATCATTCTCTAAACAAAATAACAAATGTAACTTTTGTTTTTTAAAAAAAACACACACACACCACTTGTATTAAAGGCCTATGGCAGCAATTTCTGAAGGCTAAATATATTAGGTGTGAAATAATCTCTCTGGTTCTAAATTTGCTGGACCTCTGTCTCATCAAATGACTGTCTCTTTTGATCACTGTTTCAGTAGAAAGAGAAGTACCACAGCTATGCCTGAAGTAAATACAGATAATCTTGATGAGCAGCAGGTGCAGCTTTTGGCAGAAATGTGTATCCTTATTGATGAAAATGATAACAAGATAGGAGCAGATACCAAGAAAAACTGCCATCTGAATGAAAACATTGATAAAGGTACAGTTAAAATGATAGGAAATCATGCTAACAGTTTTGTGCATTGTGTTAATCTGATATATTATATAGCTATAAATGTGGCGTCATGATCATGAGAGATGGCCAACAGCCTAGGGACTAAAGAGTTAACTATGTCCCTTACCTAAGCCAGGTAGAGTCAGCAAATAGGAATGTAGGTAGGAATTTCAAACTGGGACAAAGGAATTTTCCGTATTTTGTCCCTGGGGTAGTTTTCTCTCCAGCTACTGAGGGAGATAGATGTGTGTCTCTCTCTAAGAAAAGATTCTTCACTAAATGTAAGTAGGGTAAAGTTTAGATAAATCCATTGTTTTATTGTTTTATGGTTTGGGAATGGGAGTCTGGTGTGTGCATTTAGAAATGAGTTTTGCTCTCTTTTGTAATTGTCTTGGCCCATGATTGGGGTTTCCCCCATGAGTATATTAAATTGTGACTTTTCCATCTAGTCACTATGCTTGCAACAGGAATATAGTGGTGATAATAAAAGTTCTTTCTCTTTTCTTTTTATTAACCTGGTATTGGTTAATTTTTGTGTCCTGGTTTTTACTTTACGGGTGAGATTTCCCAAGTGATCTCTCCCCTGATTTTTCTTATCATTACTTGGGTGGTGGCAGTGGATTTTTTTATCTCCAAAATCTAGGGGTTTAAGATTTTCGGGGGAAGCTTTAAACCAAAGCCTGGAAAGATAAGGTTTTGGGATACTTTTGTGGGCCCCCCCACTTCTGCATTTATCGTGCCAGAGTGGAGAAAAAGCCTTGACACCTTGCATTGAAGCATTTACCATCAAATGCTACAATATGAATGACAAACAATTGTAGGCAATAAGCAAGGGAGACTAAAGATAATAGTATTAGTTACCCAGGGTTATGAACATTAGTGAAGTGCTCTTGACTTAAATACTTGATTAGATACTTGACTCGTTTAAATTTTTGGATATGTTATAAAAAGACTTAATAGTCATTTTTATTTTAGCGGGGGGGTTTTCAAGTGGCACAATATAACCATGGAGGGGAATTAAAATATGTTTCCCTCTTTTATGCTAGGTTTAGTCTTTTGGAAACATGAGTCTGTATACTTCTAGTTACAAAAGAATCAGTGGTGTTTCCTGGAATGGTTTTCAGATTGCTCTTGTATACTCACAATAACAAGTAAGGAGCTTATTCTGCAGAAGGAGAGAAAGCTAATATTATAGAGGAAGTTCTACTTTTAAATTCTCCTCCTCCTTCAGTGCCCATTATTGTGAGAGTTGGTTGCCTTCCAAAGTTAAATTTGGGATTTTAGCAATCTGTTCCACATTATCTCTTTCTAAATCTCAGTTAGAGACTAAACCCCACTAGTGACTTGCCTAAACATGCTTTAGGTAAACTTGCTTAAACATTTAACTGAACTGCAACAAGATACTGGAAGCAGATACTTAGAGATTTGTGCATGTTTGGGAATAGGAAAAGCTGACATTTAACATGTCAAAATACAAAATTGATGGTTTATTTTTTCCCACCTCTTACTTAAGAGAATTTCTGGTACACATGATGGAAGGGGGGAAATCCTTTCAAAGATCAGTCTATTCTAGTTCTGTAACCTTGGCTATTATACTTGCAGGGTTTTTCTACTCCTTTATTTCAGAAACTAATACTCATGTTCTTTTGTATGTTTTAGGATTATTGCACCGAGCTTTCAGCGTTTTTTTATTCAATACAGAAGATAAATTGCTATTGCAGCAGAGATCAGATGCTAAAATTACTTTTCCAGGTTAGTAAGTAAACATTTCATTCTAGGAATACAATCATAGCTTTTTGCCTTGTTTCATTTCCCACCGTCACTTCCTCTGCAGATTTGAAGATCAGTTTCCTTGGGGAAAGGAGTCAATTAGTGCTGGGCATGTGCTTTTCCAGGGGATGAAGCCAATGTAAATGAACATCTACTTATTGCAATAGAGAATAATTAAAGCATGGATTAAAGACTTTTTGGGAGACGTTGTCCTAGAACGTGCAAACATGCCTGTGCAAGTAATAGTGTAACACATTTTTAAATAGAGAAGAGTAAAAAACAAAGTGGGAAAGCCATGCCACTTCCTGTGCAAATGAAATTTGATCCTCTAGATTCCACTGTCTAGAGTGCTTACCTCAGCCAGACTGCCAAACAGAATGGACTCACCGGACTGGTGGTATGTACTATAATTAGATTTCACCAGCCCCGTAACAAAAGTGAACTTTTTAATCATTGTTACCATGGAGTCACAGTCCCCTTTAGAGTCTCCAATCTATCTTGCCACCCAGCAAAGCTGGACTTACTGATAAATGGTCACATACACCAAAATATTCAGGTTACTCCCCATTCTAAGAAATCAGTCACTTTTCCCAGAAAAATTGGTGCTCTAGTCTCATTCCAAAGACAGTACCTGAAGGCAGTTTAGTAACAAATTAACTAAAGATTTGTTAGTTAAGAAAGAAATAAGTATTATTGACAGGTTAAAGCAGGGCTATTCAACATGCAGCCGGTGAGCCGCATGCAGCCCGCGGCCCCTTTGCATGAGGCCCGTGGCGCCTTGAGCTGCTTCCCAGGCTGCCTGCCTTCCTCATCCCTGGGGTTCCAGCAGCAGTGCTGAGCTGGGA